TTTTTATATCTTTGATCTTCGAAATCCTTTATGAAAGAATGATTTATTTTAACATAAAAGAATACACATTGCCATGAATTTTAGAGTTTTAATACTCTTTTAAAGAAAATTATATTTAATGTCCACATTTTAAGATACATTAAATAATTTGTGGTTAAAGTATTTATAATGTGCTTAGTGAAATTCTTGTTTTATAAATCTTATGGTAGAGCTTGAGAAGAAGCCATAAGCAAGCAAGGGAGTACTGGGCCCATAGGAACCCAACGAAGACGGTATGTTTTTTATTATTAAATCTATTTAATATATAAACAAAAATAATTATAAGAGATAAAGTCTTGTCAACATTGTCAAGACAAGTTTAAAATATAGAGTGCAGAAACAATAAATGTGTTTCTAAATTACATCTGAAAATTCTTATAGGAAAGAAACAAAATATTTGTTGCTCCTTTTAATAGTGTTAATCAACTAATAGGGTGACATTTTTTTTTTTAAATTTAGTAAATAAATAGTCCATTAATATCTGAGAAATAATGTAAAAGTAACATCATATCTGTGGTTTATAGGTTCAGAGATACGGTGCTTTGTTTGTGGAACTACTGTTGGTCAGCCATAAACGCTCCATACAAATTCGAGGCACCAAGTAACGTCACACAGTGCAACGGTAGCGAGAAATGTATGGGCGTCGGGCAATCTTTGTTATTTTTTTTATAATGAAATGTTTTATCGTTTTCATGTAACTTATTTAATGGCATATGTATTTAAGCAAATTTTTTTCAAGTTTTCAAAGCGTTATATTTTTCAAAGTAATGTCATAAAAATTTTTTGGTAAATAAATTAGAATGGTTTATATTTTCCGAATATATAAAAAAAAAACTATATCACTTATAGGACACAAGCCTATTGTAAAAATGTAACAAATGTCGATGACCAGGAGTGAGGTGGAACCTTATTTACAGATTAACCCACGACCCACCAAATCTAATTAATAAAAAAACCTAAGATGGAATACTAAAACAATTGTTACAAAGAAATAATAATCCCTTCTTCTTATATCCAAGTGGTGTGTCTCATCGATCCGGTATTTGTTTCGAATGTCACAACACACATGCCGTTCACAGTACCTATTATTGCTAACTATAATTAATAACGGTGTTATCTGCGTTCCCATAGATAAAGACATCCTGCATGGTATGTACATAGTACACCTATTGATCCATTGAAGTGTCAAGTTACTTGGCGTTATTAAACGAACGCCATAAGATATCGAAATATTTCCCACGATCATGAATGTTAAGCGACCTTCGCTATGTCCATATGTCGGATGGGTGACCATTTTTTTCATTACGCTTCTGTTAAAGTGATGTCATTTTAATGATTTTAAAGAACGCATAAAATAAATTAATGTATTTATAGTTTATAGAACGTTCACGAAGTCCGTTTTTCGGATGGGTGACCTTTTTTATCGCTTTGCACTTCTGTTTTCTCGAATACGGTGGAGCTCGGTAGTTGTAATGAATGCTCACCCATCTCATGAAGGGATTTACAATAGTTGCTTAAGATGAAATAAGACGATATGTTTTAGCATTGATATTGGGTGCTAGTTTTCTAATTAGATTTTTTATGAATTAAAATTGTCCATCTTCTTGAATTATTGTTGGTGTATGTTGTCGAAAACCGTATTAGTATCCGTTGTGTATCGTTTTTAAAAGATCTAAGCGGACAGAAGCAGGACTTTGATTTACATCATGTATATATTTGTAGATATATTTTTCATTTAATTAAGGATGATATTATTCAATTTTTCTTCTCTTAACACATAATATTAAAATTTGTATGGTTATTTTATAATGTAAATGTACAGGTTATCTCAAAGCTTATAAAAATCAATTTGAAATTAATTGTTTATGTCTCTATAAAAATAAGGTACATTGTAACGACCCCGTATATAACTACTACTATATTGGCCACCCATTCTACGACTGGCCTTTGCGAAAGTAGCTTAACACAACAATCGCAAGTCGCTAACGCTAATTACTTCTTTTAACTTTTTATATATTTAAACATGCCACAATTCACATAATATTAAGTATATGTATTTATCGGTCCACTAAATATTTCTGAATACTGGTTAAATAATAATACAAGGATTATTAACACCGAGCTTCGTCTGCGGAAGTCATCAGTATCAGCCAGCATCTGCTGTGCACATCAAACACCATCATGATTTGTGTCCAGAGCAATATCTATGGTTAGAGCACCCATTAGTTTATTAAACTTTCTTTAGATTACTATAAAAATTCTATAGTTTATAGTCCAAAAATCCACCTTCCTATAAGATCTATATATTTAGCTAATATATTAATTTACATTATAATTGAAGTAATACTAACAATTTAATAAATACACAATGTCATATCAGCTCAGATTCCATATTAGTAGTAAAGCCCGTATGATAAGGGAATCACAAACAACGTGAAACAACACAATACACAGAGCGAGATAAAAGGTTATTTTCTAATTCAACCGATTGGGAATCGAACCCGGGTTCACCACCCGACCACAGAGGTGAGTATATAGTTCAATTTTAATGTATTGTCATTCAAATGTGAAAATTAAATGAGGTTAAATAAATGGAATAAAAATGTCATTTATAAAAGTCACAAAGTGACTTATAAAGTACCTATATTGCTATTTTTTATATTATTTTGAAAACTTATAAATATATACTTGTCTCCCTCTAATCAATATAAAAAACAGACAATAATCCTACAATCAAATTTTACAATTTATTCACATCTTTGCGCTTATAAAAAGCATAATACAATTAATCCAATACATAAATTACAAGGAATCATATTTGATAAATCTTTCATTCACAATGCAACGAAAGTTACTAACTGGAGACACTATGAGAGAATCAGTCTTGTTAAAGTCGGGGCGCGCAATTGGTAGAGCGCTTACTCAGTTCGAGAAAGGTTAGAGGTTCGAATTCTGACTCAAGCACAAGTTCGATTTCGCTATATAACAAATATAAAATATAATAAATTAGATATTTTATATTTAGAATAACAACATTTTTGTTTATTACGGAGTCATTGATGAAATTATGCTTCGAAAAGAATAATCAAAATTTTGTTGTATATAAAACGCCTAGAACCTCGCTAAAAGGATTTTATTGACAATAAAAAAATATTGCAGCACATTTTTTATTTTAAAATAATCACTTAAATTACAAATATATGTAATTTTACTAAGATCTATATAATCTATGCATCTGTATGTCATCCAATTTAATCCGTAATAATGTTCAATAATCTATGGCAAACCAAAAACAATCCTATCATCGTCATATTCAATAGGTTTTTCATTAACACTAGATAATATCAATTCCACATTCTACCACGCAACAAGAATTAAATCTAGTCGTAAACTTATCCATTTATAATTAACAATGAGTTGTATTGATTTAACATTTCGCGACACTAATTGATAGAACTAGGGTAAAAGCACAGGTAACTGACACGGATATTAATTGAACACGGTTTTGATTAGAACCACAAAAATAAAATGAATAGATGAAGAATTAAGAGTAAATCATTATTTTGTGCCCTCATAATATAATAATACTCGTAATTTTCGTTCTTTAAAAGTTTTCATTACATATATTTATTTGCCATATCAATCAGAGATTAGAGCCAGTTTAAAAAAATGCTTTAACGAAAAATATCAAAATACTTAATTAACAAAATATTTTTTAGTAATAACTGATTTTTTCAATCAAAAATGAAAACTATAGAAATATTTTTTTTTTACTGTAATATATTCGTACTTAACTGTAATATATTAACTGTATAATTCCAATAAGAATGTTCTATAATAATTATAGTAGCAAATGTAATTTTCTATTTTGTCACTGAGAGGGACCCCATTTGAAACATTTCTCAATAGAAATATTTCTGTAGAGCGAATAATAAGTTGTCAGTAATAATATTTCAAAATAATTGAATATTAAAATTACAGTACCTATAAAAATTATTAGTTTAAACAAAATAATAATTTTTGTTTTCGATATGTAATTTGCCTTCAAAATTGTAATGGATTATTTATTCGTAATAAGACTAATACAGCAAATACTTTACAAGAACTTGAAAATTGTAATTACTTACATTAATATAAAATAAAAATTAATCGTCTTTTATTTTATTTTATATCCATCAACAAAGTAATAATATGAATCTATTAAATTTTCAAATTTACGTTTTTTATTTTTATTCTATAATTTTTTTATTAAATATTTTCGGAACAAATTCAAATTAAGTTAAAAAAAGAATATTATCAATCAGTCTTCTTATTTTAAATGAGTGCAAATTTCTGCGGAGTTCCGCCGTCTCAGCCACGGAATTAGGGTAAGCCGGCCGTTAATTGACACTGATCAATCACCGAGCGAATTGTTCCGCCGATTGAGCATCGAGACATAGATTCGGTACAATTTCCGACCAATTAAACTTCGAACATTTACTAGTGTAAAAAATTTGGTCACGTGATGTTGCCATTGTTTTAATAAAAAATTGTGTTTGATTTTCAAAATAAAATATATTTGAGTTACATATTTTTGTCTCAACATTCACTATACCTATTGAATGCTGTGCATATCTTTTTTGATGAATTATATTATTATCATTGATTGTGTTATTTGTAATTAAGAAGTAAAGTGACTCGCTGCTTTTAGTTCTTATCACGATCAAAGTTGAAATTACATGGAAGTTTCTATGGAAGTTTATTTTATTCAGATTGCCAACCATGAAGTTATATTATAATAACAAAACTATTACTTTTATTTCTGTAAAGTTCTTATTGGAATTCTATTTAGTTTAGTTGCAAGTAAATTGTTATACCTATCAACATAAATAAAAGTTCGGTAAAGATATGACGAGAACAAATCACTTTCTCTATAATTCCTATTCAACATAATACATAACACCTGTTTTTGAAACACTTACGTTTTCGTTGGATGATAATTTCTGATGATGGAATCACAATAAAATTTCAACAAAAGTCCACATAACACTGACGAGTCAAAAAGCCACTAAAACCGTCGAAGTCTTCAATATACTCTATATTCATTCACACTAATGTCTCAATGTAATAAAAATCATTCAAACTAAACACAGTCAGCTACGCCCAAAAATAATCTTTCGTGTCCGTGCGAAAACAAAACAAAAACATTACACAAAGTTACACTAAACAAGTTCACGTATGTTCCTCGGTAGCTTTACAAAAATATTTAAGAAAAAAATTGTCACAATTAATTATCGAGAGTTCACTATTCACAATCGATTATCGGATGGATGGTTTCGATTATTTATTATTACGTAAGGTGTATCGACAGATGCGAAGCGATGAAGCCGCGAGCGCGCGTCGTAGTCGCGGCACGACTGCAGTGATCCTTCGAAGCCCCACCAACACTACGCGCGCATCTGAGGCTCGTTCCTTGGCGCGGCCCCGCCCAGTGGGACGCTACTCGGTAGCTAAGATGACCGTCTCCCTCCTCCTCGCACGCAAACGGAACCACTAGCCCCGTCTCACTCCCCCGCGGCGACAGTGGGGCGCGCCAATAGGATCGGTTCGGCGGATCGAGTCGAGACGATGAATCGAGATGTGTACTTAGGTATCACTGCACAAGTCCTTTTGTTGTAGTCGATAATAGGATGCGCTTTTTTTTTGCGGCGCGATCGACTGCCCGTTTCTTGGATGCAACGTTGGATGCGTTTATTTGTTTACATTACAAAGATGCACAACAACTGTTTACCAGTGTACCATCCTTAAGTACTTTTATCTGTCATGTCACTTTGCAATTATTTAAATTAATTTTTTTTTCATACGGGACGTTCCACTGAAATAATCTGATAAGTTGGTTTCATTTCCAAAATTGTCGACAAAATTTAAAAAAATATTAAATTAAAAATTAAATTAGTATTTGCAAAAAAGAATGAACTTCACAGTTTACCTTGAAATAATCGAAAGTACGAAACTGTAAGGGCAAGCAAGACGCGTAGGGTGATCGTCTCAGTTGCGGGCAGGGGTGGGTGAACTCGGTAGGGCGCAGATGTAGGTCAGTTTTTGTTTCGCGCCGAAATTCGGTTACTGGGTTCGCTCGTGTTATCTTCTGAGTAGTGCCAATTATCGGAGAACTTACCTTACTTATTTTGGTTTGCCAATTGTATGAAGAGTGGCAAAATTTTCATTTGAATTTCGTTTTACATATAATCTCTTGGACAACACAGTATCCCACTTCAGATGTTAATTCTGTTTCATAAAACTAAAGTTATTTATATTTTTAATAAGTTATTATGAATTCTACTTTAATTTAATACATATCTCATTTTTTACCTTCATCTCAAACCCAAATAAAAAATGGTTTCAAAATATAAAATACTTTTAAACGTAACATTATTACTTCAAACTGTATTAACTTTTTTACTACAGTAGCGTAAAGCTCTTTTAGCTTGGCTCCTCTCGTCGCTAGATGGAGCCACACGTCGGTTTTCCTTCATTTCCCTGCCATTTTCCGAGCGAGGGGTGACACGACGTACAAAATTGCTATTTCAATAAACCGGGTTCGTATCTAAGTAGGTTTAAATACAAGAACAAAGTGTTTGGTGTATGCGCAACAAGTTTTCATGAACATATATGCATTATAATAATAAATTTACGTATTATAATAATGTTAAGAAAACTTTCTACTAATTAATAGAGAATACGTTTTTTATACTGAATTTTTAAGTTTGATGTTTCGAGTCATACGTTAATACAATATTTCCATAATATTTATTTGATGGTATTTTTTTTTAACAACTTTAGCTGGCGTTACATATTTTATTATTACTTATTAATTAATTCTTTAGTTCAATAAGCGAAACTGCGTTCTTTTTTATTATGATTGAACAGGTAAAACTCAAGTATTAGAAAACTGTACATTTATTTTAAAATTAAGAAATATTTATGCAACATTAAAAATGAGAAATTGGGAATTATAAGTCATATAATTTAAAAAATATATTAGTTTGGTATTGATATTATATAATAATCTCTAAAAATCTATTATCCTGTAATATGATAAGTTTCATAGAAAAGTTTAGTTAACTAGTCGAAATTGAGTGCTTTTTGATTAAATTATAAAGATTATTGAGTTCGGTCAGTTATTTTAAGTGTTAACTGTTTTAAATTTCGGTTTACACTGTAATATAAACCGTATATTTAGGGTAAATTCATGGTAAAATAATATATTTTCTATTCTATAATTATATATCTATATTAATAATATTATAAAGAGGTAAAGTATTAATTAATTCTTAATTTTGTTTGACACTTGTATTTGTAATTCTAACATAAATATTTGCTTGCTATTCGTTAAAGCTAAAAAGAATGCACTCATATATCGTATTTCCATCTACAATGTACCTCATTTAAAGGCAAATAAATTATTATTACTTTTATATTTTATTTGTTTAAGAGACGATCTTCGTAATAACTGATTCTATCATGAACATTTTTTCATCAACGGGACGCTGTATCATACGCGGGTGACATAGGTTATAATTCATGCGAGTGAAGTCGCGAAAAAACAGCTAGTCACTAGCTTAAGATAACCAATAGTATTTATATGAACAGGAACGATATCGAACATGTAGCTGTTTTTTTTAATTGTAGATGTGTGAGGATATGACGTAACGTAACCGTTTTCGTCTAAAGCGAATGACATGATTTTCAATATCCGTATTCAACCCTCGTAACGGTCGAGTTTTTCAAAAAGCTTTCTTAGTGAATGTCTACATCATAATAAAGTTTTGTGTCAAATTACTCTACGGGCCGATCTGTAGTTCGAACTGTGTGTAGATATATCAATCACGCAATCTTAACTGTTTATATATAGAGGTAGATAACTTATAAGTTGTTGCTTGCCCGCGGCTTCGTCTGCGTTGATTACGCGATATTGAAACCCTAAAATGTTGGATCGAATTTTTCAAATCTCTTCTGAGCAAAACTTTATGTCATGATAACTACATTATTTCGCCAAACATGCGTACTGTCTTTAGTTATAATCACATGGTTGGTGGAGTACGGCGTTGTTGCTGATTTCCAGTATGGTGTATACAAGATATATGTAAAGACGTATAGATATAAAACTCTTTAATTTAACTGTTTTTTTTTAATATCGTGTTACGATTCCTGCACTATTTCAATTATTAGTGTTATACAAGTTATCAAGAGACACAAGAGGTCTCGCAATATTCCATTATGCGCGGGAGTCGATCGTGCACAAGTAATTACTGGTACTATCAAGTTGTGCTTTCATTACAGCGACTTCGTGTCTATGTAATGTTACTCTATCTGTTTATAAATACATAGATAGTATCATAATTTTGTCATACTTTTATCATATAAATATACACCAGACTACAACAAAATTATATGTTTCAGTAATCGATTATTATTAATGTTATTTCCGACTTAGTTATGTTTAAATTAAAAAGTTTGTTTATTGTTAAAAGTCAATAAATCTTATTTTTATATTTGTACGGTTAGTTTCCTATTACAAAATAATATATTAAAACCTTAACTTTTTAATAAATTAGTTATATAAATTCGATTATGTATATTTTTGTATAAGTATAAAACAATTTAGTATTTATGTTAGTCTTTACTATAAATGACGACATTTACCTATGACAGAGAGGTCGAATATTATCGAACAGGCGAATGACGCAATTGAATCAATTCAAAAAGGACAAAACAACAAACAATCTACGTAAACACGAAGCAACGTCTTAAGGGTTAAAACAACAATAGTAAAAATGCAAACACTCCTGCAGACATTACGGACAGATGTTTCGAACCCTTCGATTCGCCTCTCCCGCGCATTGAAGGGTTAACGTGGCATAATATGGATGAGAGATAATCATTAAAATTTAAAGAAAAAATCGGAAGCTAAACTTGGATAGTAAAGGTTGTATTTAGAGATACATTTGTTTTATACTTGTATTTTTTGTGATTATGTTCAATTTTCACACATTTTTTTTAATTCGACGTAATAGTCAGTATAATTATTGGCTAATATATTTTTAAAATAAACTCTGTTTATTCAATTTTACTTTTCTTGATTTTTTCGTATTTTTTTCTGGAAATTTATATTTATTTTTTTCGCTCTGTGGACTTTATTCTTTATTTTTCTTTAGTATACAATGAACTTTAAAAAATTTATCGTTTATTGTTAAATAGCATAACAATATGAATCAGATGATGACATTACTTTAGTGACACCTTACAATTCAGGAATTCATAATTATTTGCATAACTTTGAGTATTTGAAGAAGAAAAAAACAGGCTATGCTGACTTTCTCACCAATTTGCAGTACAAGATTTCTTTCAAAGTTTCAATTCTTAGAACGAGCTCTAGAATTGCGAATGGTTTTTCGAATATCACAACTAAATAAACGATATAAAATATAAGATATGATTTTTAAAATGGACTATTCCACACTATTCTTTCGCAGGGTTAAAAAAGAAGGATATCGAAAAGTGAAAGTAGAAAAATCTGAAGCTGTCTAAAAAAATATACCCCTTATGCAAATATTCATTTCTAATATTTACACCCAGATTACGGTCCGTCGCGTCGCAACGCCCGTATTCATTATTAATTTCCGAATGATTTATTAACTTTAAGCTTTTTTCCGCGAGCGACTTATGAAAAATTCTATAAGAGTTAATTAGGAGAAAAAATCGTGAGATACATCGGAAAGGGTTCGTAGGAAATTTTGCATATTTTTTTTCGCCTCTTCTCTCGTCTTTCAATAGAATTCGTTAGGGAGAAAATTGGGGACATTGAAATAAGTTACGAAACGTAAAGTGTTAATTAACTGTTGATTTTTAAGAGTTCCTGTTAATTACCGATCGGGAAATACTTTTTTCTTTCAGTATTAATTTTAATATAAATATGGAATATTCTAATTCTTTCTACTTATTAGCAATGGATGTCCTCAATTTATTGTAAATAAACAAGTAATAGTTATGTTTGGAAATTATTCCAAAATTTACTGCACAGCTTTTGAAGTTCAAAGAACGTATAGCTTAACGATTGTACGAGCGAGCTTAAACTAGGAACTGCAAATTAAACAAACACCAAAAATAAGAGACGTAAACATCTGGCGTTCATCTGGGTAGACACACAATCAAACCAGCACTGATAAAATCTGTGAAAACCAAACATTGCAGACTTTTAGAGGTGACCAAAGTAAAATAATTATTTTAATTCTGGTGGCAAGTAACAATGTCTCTTTAGGTCGCAGTAAATATGGCACTGTCTAGCCTCTTAACAAAGAATATTAAAACAAGAATATCGACAGCGTATATTTTAACGATGAGTCAGTAATAAGTTTCTAGAAGAACATCGAACATCATACCAATCG